GTTTTAATCAGCTGAATTCTAATATTTAATTCGCAATCCTCGATGCATAGTGTAATTTAAAGGGCAGCCTAAGCACCTGTTTTCTCCTAGTTTTATTGTCCGCCCTTATAAAAACGGACATATAGTAAAGGAAGTACCGGGCGGAAGAGCAGGGAATTTGCAGTGCTGGTCATTGCAAATAACGTCACATGCGGTAAAATCCAGGATCCTTTGGCCGTAATATCCGTTGACGTTCGTTGTCACGAGAGAAGGGCAAAATACGCGGATCCTGTACAAGGTGTGCTACTTCCGCGATCCGCGAGCAATTTTGTTCCTTGGAGATCGTGCGATTTGTTACAATCGTCGGCGCACCGCCCCAAATCAAGGGGCATCTCTCGGGTCGAGAGGGAGGGAGATGACGCGACGCGACGCGAAATGCGAATAAGCGTCAGCCGCAGCTTATGGGCTTAACCGACTCGTTCGACCGGTCGGAACTGGCTCTTCCGGATCTCGCGGTAGGTGAATTAAACTCGAGGACACGCGCCGAATCGCTTCTAGGTCGCTTAGTCGCTACTCCATGGCGCGACAGAAGAACCAGCTGATCCCGCGCGCTTTTTGCGGGAGGGAGACTTCTGGGGAGAAGCCGCTTTGAGGATGCTCGAGGAGGCTTCGGCTGCTACTCACCGTCTCACTCCGGATTCCGAGGATCGTGATCGCGGATACGAACCGCGACTGCGACACGCAGTGTTTTCGAAGCCGTTGTCCGCGATACAACTGCTTGTTGTCGAGAGCAAAAAGAGAAACGCACGGCCACGGAACGGTCTCCCGATCGAACGAAGCTGAATGAGGCCAGATGAAACTAACAAGCTCTACCGAGTAATCGAGCGACGGTGGGCTGCAACGCCGAACGATATCGTAATTGCCAAACGACACCGACCAACGCCGACCGACGCCGATCGACGACTGATTTTTATCGAACCGTCTCAACCGTCCGCGGTCAGCGGTGAAATGCGACTCGCGCCGCGCTCGACCCGCCATCTCGCGATGCGATACCAGAGATAGATGGACGATTAAGATCGATCCTTTTGATCTCGATTTCCGATTTTTTGGATCGATTATCATGCCTCTCGGTTAAATTCGCAGATCGATTCTTTCACGGAAAAATCGAATCGAAAACTTCGACTTCGATAGCGAGCGACGCGAGGGTGCTACCACCGACGAGATACTATTAGGGGGACTCGGGGCCACTTTCACAAAGCTCAGTTAATTTAACCAGCCTAGCAAGTCTTAAAAATTTATTGTAGATCCGGGGTAAAGAAACTTAGATAAATCTAAGATTAGATATTATATATGTTTAAAGAGAACAAGACTTTCTGCATATTTATATATTCATAATTTTTACCTTATATTTTAGACGTGAAAGCTTATTGGACAAAGGTCTCCTTATAAATTTAGAGATTTATGATCTGTATTCAGAACACGCTTTTATCTTTAAAATTCTATAGTATGCGTAACGCAAATTATAGCACGTTAGCGCGCTAACATCGTTGTAAGCGCGTTCTGAACTCTATATCATAAAATTTAATAAACATCGAATTATTGATCTTTATTAGAAAAATCTATAAAGTCTTCGAATCATTTTTTTTCCATTTGTCATTCTATAATTAATAAATACTGAATCGCTGGTTTCTATATAAATAAGCATATATAAATTATGGAACATATCTATTTCATGTTTCTAAAATTGCTGTAATGTTTATTCAGAAATATCCTTTATTTTATCCATGTTAGTAATCTTTTTCCTCAATACGTTTATCCGGCCAAAAATCAATTACAGATACTTTAAGGAGACAATCTTCATAGGAACAAGTGCTCATCAAAGTGTCTCCATTAGATATGTTTAAATTCGAAATATCCGACTGTTTTAAGAATGACCAGTCGCAGCCATACGATAAACCTTTGTGCTCTTTATAATTGACAACGACAGATGATAATATATCGTGATTAATGATCTTAAAACCATTGTGCATACAGGCGGCGAGCAGGTATTGATGAGTAAACGGATCCCATTTTAAACGCCAGACTCCACCATCGAGACAAATCGTCGATATTGGTCGAGCGAAATTTCTCTTATCCCACAGTCTTACATTCTGATCGTAACTGAAATATTTAAGCGCATATTGATTGTTTAAAGGAAAGTTTATCAAATAAATTATCCAAAATAAATTTTTGCAATCATAGAAGATAAAATATGTAGATTGAATTTCTTTAATTTTAGTAATGTAAATAAAGAAAAAAAAAAGAAATTTATTATTGTATAAAATTCATAAGATTTCACGCGCGTACGAAAAATTGAATGTGAAGATCTTTGAGTTTTTAAACTTTTATTTTCTTAAAAGAATGCAAAGTGATTACCGAAAATTTTTTTACCTTCCGGTTGCGAGTAAGAATTTTTTACTATGGATGCTAGTAACACCGGCAGTATACTTCTTATTTTCAACTACAGGGTGAGATCCAGTTCTGCTATCAAAACATAGAAATCTATTGTCATCGCCTCCTGAAATTTACCATAAATTAATTTATAAAAAACCCATTATTGAGTTTTCTTACTCAATTGGTTTATAATATTCTAAATAATAAATTTGACTAGATGCGCACTGGTAAAACTGTCATACACAAATTGACGTAAAGGTGTGTGTTTAATATAAATATAGAAATGTGTTGAGCTGCAAAATCGTCAGTACACTTTATTGTGCTGTTTAGATGAAATATGTATTTTATAATTTAAAATATTTGCATATCACTTTTACACTTAGATTAAATCAGTGTATATGTCTAACCGCTAAAATTGTTATTTATAAATTAAGCAAAATATATAATATAGATAGGCTACAGTCCAAAATAAATCGCCTGTGCTGAAAATCTATATAGATTCACTTTCATATACATCATATATTGTCGTACCAGAATAAAAAATTAATGGATTGCAATAATCAAAGGCGACAATCCACGCATGAAACTTGTGAGCGGGCCATGTAAAATCTTTCGTCAGATCACCCGCTTCACCCCACGTGAAACGAGAGATGTGTCCTGCACTGTCGCTCACAAGAATATTTGTATTAATGATAGGATCAGAGGCAGGGTTGTTTCTTCTGGACCAATCTAGAGATAACGCCATGACATTCTCCTCATTGACTTTTAATTTAGTGATAAATTCTATTCTTTTTCCATCGTTTTTCAGTTGATAAATTTGTAAGTATCCCATGGAATCGACAACTGCGAGTAATATTCGAGTTTCTACAATATCTGTGACATGTAACCATTTCATATCCAATATAGCTGAAGTGCATACTTGTTGCAGCAATTCTAACTCTCCACCATTTGTTATACGCAACAATAAGATTTGTCCCTGTCTGTATGTAGATTTTGTGTTAGGTTCATTTTTATTTAATTCGTATGTTCCACATGTTAATACATTTCGATACGGCTCTACAGGACACCACTCGACGGTGTCTGCTGGAAATTTTGTATCGAATGTAGCCAATGTACGTACATATATCTCGTCTTCTGCCATTTCTTTCTGTCAATTATCTGGAACAAAAGGAATTTCGACATAATTTAGAGTTATGCATCGTCAAATGATATTTAATAAAAACTTTATTTAAATTTGCAATTTTAGGATTATACATAATAAACTTACATATAATAAACTTAAACAAGATAGCGATTATGATTATTCTTAATTATAATCAATAAAGCTTGATCATAATCAATGTATGCATATAAAAGGTAGTATTGAAAGCAGCACATTAATTGTGAAATAAATATATAGCGAAAAGATGTAAAAAAGAAAGAAACGAGAATATATCCAATATATATGTGAAACAAACTGAAAGAGAAATATGAATTGCAATGGACACAGCTCTTTTCTTTTTCAATAAAAAAATGTTTATTTCGTTATAGATATTACACAAAATTTAAATATAGGAACACATTTGTACCATTTTTTTACATGGTATTTTTCTTATATTTATCTTAGGACCTTATACGCATCTTGTGTCTATATTTGTACTATTTGTATAATTTGTACTATAATTGTGGATTATATACACATGTTAAGGCTTTAAATATATCACTATTTCCACAAATTGTATTATTTTAAATTAATAAATATACATATTATTAAGAAAAGAAAAATATAAATTCTTTATACAAATTACCTATATAAAGTCTATTACAAACCAAGAGCTTAAAATAAATAATAAAAAATATCATTATTATAGGACTACTTTTTTTGGTAGGATTTAATTCTTTCGATATTATTATTTATTTGTTAAAAAAAGAAAGTTGTTTAGTAGCTAATTAGCTATTTAATTAAATTTTGCCAAATTGGGATATTCGATAGAAATATTCTTCCATTAGTTTTCAATAGAATCTGTTGCCATTATTATAATTATCATTTCAGCTTATTCTTTACCTAACACATTACAAAATCATTATGAATTTGTTTCTATCACAATGGAATAATACTTTCCACTCAAAATTTCTCATAATATACAAGAGGTAGCAGAACAATCATTCATTTGAGTACAGATTGCTTTACATTGAGCTATGTAATGGCTCTTTAGACTTGTGTGGAAAATGCATGGAATATTTGCTTAAGTATACAGACACAGTTACTCAGATTTCATAAATTCTTGATATTCAAGAAGGATATTGGCTCAGCTGATAGAGATCCTATACGATTTTGTGTAACAATAGTTAATTATCCGCTTTGCAAGTTATGGATTCAATATTGATTTTCTTTCTCATATAAATATCATTAAAGTTTTTTCCACAAAGAATAAAAGATTTAAAGATATTTAAAGCTAAATAGCTTAGAAAAGCACATTAAAGTTATAACCTTTGTACTTTGGTTTTAGCAGTATATGTTAGAATTTTACACAAAAATTTTGAATGGATCTAAAATATGGATCAATTTTCAAAACAGAACGAATACTGTTGATGATACAAGCTTCCGCATAATGCAATAAGTACTATTTTAAAAATATATGTTTGCATCATAATATGAGTTCTCTATGTAAACGATGTCGTGTAATTCATCATGAAAGCACAGTGTTATTGGCACGCTTTCTTGGCACTTTTCACAGCCTCGGCACGGCATTGTTGGACTAGACAGCATGCCTTCGCGATGTCGCGTTCAACCTTAGATAACGTTTTGTTAATGTTATCGCCGGTGTAACAAAGTTTAAGATCGCGACCTAGCTGCTCTATAACTCGCAGCAACTTGATGTATTTTGATTGAGCAGGCACGGAAGATATTGGTGCGATGCGTTGAGAAACTCTCGGCTCCGGCACCGTCAGCAACGGTTCCATAATTTTCGCTGTCACTCCCACGTTTTTGCGTTGCTTTGTCATCTCTGAGAGGGAGGAAAGAGGCTGCGCGTTTTCCGTTTATCTTTTACAACAACCTTGAGAAACAATCGACAATCTATCAGGCCTATGAAACGTCAGCGAGCGAAGCAAAAAGATCGATCGCAGTAATCTTTAAAGTTTAATTTAATGCGAGTAAGTCCATTGAATTCATTTGTGTCATGACACAAATATATATCGCTCTACCGAAACACAAGCCAAGTGAATGTAAATATTATAATATGTGTACTATACATACCTAGTCAATCTCCCTTCGTCTCTTCTGGTCTGGACCGTTTCTACCAATTTCGGTTTTAACCGCAGTTTAGTGAAACTTTGGTTAAGATTAACTCTCAGCACGCGCGCGCGGAATAACTCCTGGTTTCCATGCACGCGTTTCTATGCGTTATAGCGCGCGACTTCACGCGTTTCACCAATCAAATGCGTGCTTTTCTTTGACGCGCGTTGACATAAAATTTTTCTAATCTTCTTGACGCGCATTACGATAAACGCGTCGTGCTATGTTGTATTCAGCCAATTTCAGCCGAATTTCGGTACGTTAATGATATAAACCAATAAGTTATAAGATGTCATTAAATAATGGTAGTAAAAATTTTTCCGAAAATGACAAATCAATAAATGAATTAATTATAAACTCAGTTCATCTTCGCAATTCTTTGTGGGATTTAAACAATAAATTTTATAAGGATAATGTTTACAAGAAGAAATTATGGGCCGAAAATTATGGGTCTACGAATTAAATGTAACAGTAAGGTAAGGAAAAAAAATATATGTACATATATGTATATAATAAAATAAATAATATCAACTTTTTAATATAAGCACATTATGTATTCAAGATTATTTATGTAAAGTTATATTGTGATGCATTAACTAGTTGTCCAATAAATAAACAAAGTATTTATTTAATTGTTCTATATCTTTGTAACCATCAGTGAATCGCAACGAAACTTTGCATAAATTATTTTGCATATTTTAAGTACTTATAAAAAAATTTAGATTTATATTATCGTTTTAAAAATTTTAGTTTAACAATAAAAATAACAAATAAAATTATAAAAATGTGTTATTCAATAAAAACAGAATGGCTGCGTTCAGCAGCAAAATTTTCTTCGTGCTGATTGGGTTATGCTTTTAGATCAAGAGGAATGATCCTATCTCAGCGGACAATCATAAAACGGTTGCGAAACTGTTGTGTTTTGCTGAACGCAGCCAATGTTTTGAACACAACTTTTATGGGCCTTCTACAATAAGCCGCAAGTCGGAACGTCAGAAGTACTTAAGGTTGTCTTAACCAAGTTGTTCAAGTTGGCTATTGGCCAACTTCACCGATTATGACTCAAGATCGCTTAGAACTTCTGACTTGCGGTTTATTGTAGAAGGCCCATTATATATACAGAATGTCCCGAAATTTTTTGCCATATATATTTTTGAATCATTTCCATCCACTAGAACGTTGGTCTGTTAGTGCATTTTCTAAGCGACTTTTTAAGGATAAATTACTTAATAAGAATTTGTTTTATTGACATCGATCAAGTTCGGCTGCCGCTGTAGCATAGAAATGAACGATATGCTAAAAATTGTTAGGAAATTGTCTTTTAGATAAGAAAGAAACGACTTTTTAAGATCGATTTGAAATAGCCTTAGACTTGGAAAAAAAATTATTTTTTTTTTACCTAAAGACCAATTTCCAAATTGATTTTTAGCCTATCGCTCATTCCTATTCCAGCATTCCCTTCAATGTCTTAAGATATGTCTCTTATGTTTCAATTTACTGACCTTTTTTCATTTTTCGACTCGTACCATAGAAGCGCCAAATCGGGGAAAGAAAAGCGAGATGTCCGTGTTGTATACAAAATTTTTATTTATTTAACGATATATTATGGGAAATATTTACGGGATTATACTTTCCATTAGGTACATATTTGAAAAGCTTTTACTTTGCATTCTTTTCTTTTTCTCACTCGAAACGTATACTAAAAATTTGCAGCATATGCGAGTTTTAACAAAAATCATGATATAACCGTTTTTTTGCGTTTTCTTTTTTATAAAATATAAACTAAGACTCTAATATTCTCTAAGTAGTACAGTGTGTGTATACAAATTGGTACCATCCCTCCCATTTCTATGTACTAAATTGTAACTTAAAAATAGGAAACTGTCAGCCATTGTTCGAATGACGTACGTGCAGGAACCGAGCTGAGAAATCGAGATCGAATCGCTGCGCTTGCTTAGTGCCGAGACACTATCACGTTTTCTGAAAAAGAGACCATACATATCGCGTATGTAATGAAAGGATAGCAGTCTAGGTTTGTTTTCTCTAGAAACAAAATGCTCGATCTATGCATGTACGTCCGCTACTGTATATATCACGTCGTGTTAATACCGCAGTTCGAATTTAAGCAATTCGTACAAAGCAACGTCTCATGAAATGATAAAAAGCTACAAGTAATCTAATCGCTATCTAACTCATGTCGGCAGATCATTGTTGCGCATTGTGCTGCGTCTCGTGCAAGCAATCCCGTACGGCGATCCTAGCCTGCTGAATGCCATTCTTCAGCCTCTCGGCGGCACTGCGGCTGCCCGCGTACGACAGACGGATGTCTCTGCCGAGCTCCTCAATGATATTCAATAACTTGCCATAATTGTTCTGGCCGGGCACGGTCTGGTAGTTGATCATGCTGGACGGGCTGGCCTGTGCCACTTGTACGGTCTGCACATTTTGCAAATTCCTCGGGTTTGGCACGGTGATCACAGGTTCGGGGATACGCGGTGGCGGTGGTAGTGACGAAATCTCCGGTACCTTTGGCGGATCGTTCAGCTTCGTAATCGTTATCTCGTTCATTTTGGCCAGCTCGTTCAGTTTCACCATCTCATTTGTCATTTTGACATTCTGGTATTCCGGTCTTTCCATCTTGACGATATCGTTTTGTATATTTGCCATCTTCATCATCTCATTCATCTTCGTCTTCTCGTTCATCTTCGCGATCTCTTTCGCCATCTCATTAATCTGCGCGAATTCCGTCAGTTTTGTGATATCGTTATTGTACTTTGCTATCTCTGTCATTTTCACCATCTCGTTCAGCTTCGCTATCTCGTTCATCCTTTGCACCTCGTTGATCTTGGCCATCTGAGATATCTTCATCATCTCGTTCATCTTTGCCATTTCATTGATCTTGGTGATGTCGTTATACTTGGCCATCTCGGAAAGTTTCACCATCTCGTTCATCTTGGCGATCTCCTGCATCTTCATGTATTCCGTAGTCTTGGCATATTCTGCCATCTTCTCCATTTCATATCTCTTCGCCATGTCCTGAGACATCTTGTTCAATTCAGAATTCATTTTATTAAACTCCGCGATTTGAGCCATTTGAACTATATGCTCAGGTACTTTTCCCCTCTCCATCATTTGCTTCAATTCCGCGGATATTTTATTCATATTCATCTCAGACATCTGGGCTATTGTAGTGGAATCAGGAACGGGCATCTTGGATAACTCGGCGATCTTGGAAATCTCCCTCGCGAGATTCTCGTCCAGGCAACGCTTTTTCTTGGCACGATGCCTGGCCATTCGTTGAGCCTCCTGCATTCTCCTTAATGCCGCCTGTTCCTCAGTTTCCTTGGCTCTGGCGTTTTTCATTATCTCCGCAGCCGTATATAGTCTAACAGCACGTTCCTCCCCTGTCTCTGACATCTATAATTTCGCATTTCCTTTACTGTCTCGGGGCAAGATTCTTTTCCAGCCTCAAAGCTTAATACATGACACAAATAACATTGATTCTGTCCCTCGAGTGCTTTGTCATTTTCAGAGTAAAATTATAATATTTAAAATGGTCTAAAATTAATAAAATAGAATAAATATTCCAATCATGAATATAGCTTATTTCTCCAATTTCCTCGCCACTTTAACAGTACTCTTTCTTTAATTCATGTGTGCTACAATTCGAGAAACTCGAGTCTATCAGGCATCTGAAACAGATTGCAATCATGTTACAAGGATAGTAACGAGTGAGAGGAGGGGATGATAAAATGATTATCCCAATATTCACAGAGATTAAAGCCTAAGACAAAATTGAAAAGTACAAGCAAAATGGAAACAATATATTTCAATCTAATCAGAAACCATGTATACCAGGATACACCATTTCAAAATAGGTTAAAATCTGTTAGTTTTTATTCCTATTGCCTGTGCCTTTCAGTATTTTGTGTCTCAGGCTAAATTCCACATTGTCACATTAAGCATTGAGAATTGCAGATTACAAATTGAAGATTAGAATTCAGCCAATCAGAACAAAATGGATTAAAATTAAAATTATTGAATTAGTCGAATTCGACTTGGTAATTTTCAATCTTTAACGTGTAATGTGACGTATGACACGGGTTTTTAATCGTGCGAGACCTAACCTCCTAACGAAAGATACGTCGAACACGAATGGGATCACGAATGACTAAATCGACACAGCTTATAAGATGTCATCGCGTCGTTATCGAAAACTGTTAACATCCAATATCCGATGAATCGTATATGGATAACCGAGATCCGGAATCTGCGATCTCGTTTAAGAAAAGTGCAAAGGATATCGGACGGCGAGTTTTTCTGAACTAATGAAAAATTATGTTCGCGAAATTATTACGTGCACATCCCGGGAATCTTCGTCGTTGTCTCGGTCTACTGCGTCTCCTCGTCGTATCCGCGAGCTGCATCGCCCGGTGTGTGTGCTAGTAAGTGCGTACGCGCGCGACGCGGCCAGGCCAGGATGGGAAAAGTTTGAAAAGAAATGAGCGTCCGTTTCTCGCGTCTGAGCACATCGGAGTCATTGGATGCGCATGCGCGTTCCGAGCTAAGAACGTCGTCTTCTCGCGTGGACTGCGGAGTGCGGAGTAGGTATGTATGCATGTATCGGCACGTATATAGTATATAGTATATACCGCGTCCTCACTCTCTCTCTCTCTCGGCTCTCGCTGTCTGACTACTCTGACTCGACTGGACGGCGCGGCTGATCGACAACAATGGCGGACGCGTTTCGGCCGATTCGCTGAAACGCGCTGTCCACTCACCTTGGCGAGAGATCGGCCGGCCACGGGTCTGCGACACCCATCCGCGGATTCCTCGACGAGTGCCGCGTTCGCCGGTTCGCGTCCCACGTCGATCCGCGCGGCTCTTACCCAGTTTATTCCGCGAAACAGACGCACAAAGGCGGGTATCGCCATACGACACGTAAGATTTTCGAGACGGAGGAGCCACTTTAAGGGGCTAAGCGGGGTCGTCGTCGCTGCCGCCGCCGCCGCCGACGCCGATAGGCTGCGTGTGACGTGGTTGCGTTTATTGACCATAACCCCTTCCTACTGTCGTCCGCAACCTCGCGACAGACAGGTGTATGTACGACCTGCGGAACTATTGACCGCGTCTCTATTGCTCGCATTTCGCCTTCTTGTTCTTACTTGCTTCTTAGTCGCGTGCAGTCGCGTCTTAAAGGCCATACTCGCCACATCGTGCGTTACGTATCTCGCGTCAAGACATCGACAGTGGCCGGATGAAGGGAAATCGAGAGGTAGAGCGAGACACTCTCGGCTCGAATTGAGACGGTTTGCTATTTTGCGTTGGAAAACGAGCGGTTGACACGTATTTTTCTCGACGTTCTCACAACGTCGAGATTAGGTAGTCTAGGAAGCGGAGGATTCACATTTTTAAGACAAAGATACGACGGCACATCGCGCAATATGATGTCTTATGCAACTTGTGTAACCGATGTCAAATAAAATATACATATCTGCCTTTAGAAAATGTAAAGAAATGTAAGCGTTTCAGATTATGTTTAAATCATACAGTTAACGCCAAGAATTTAAGGATTCTGTAGAGTGATTCATAAGTGTCGATATTCAAAGAATAAAAGACAAGGACAACTTTCACTTTTTCGCGATCGTTTTATTTCTACATTTTCTTATATATTTTTCTTAAGGTTGGATAAGTTAACTTTTTTTTTAAACCAAATTAAGTTAAAGTTAACACAGCCCTGAAAATTTAACTTGGTTAAAATAAAAGTTAATCCATAAAATAAAATTACAAGTTAATAAAAAAAGTAATTGAAAAGTTAAAAAGTTAAATTTGGTTACCCTTTTATATAATTTTTCATATTTTTCCTTACAATATATTAATTAAAGAATCACTAGTTATTTTTGTTCACAACTAATGATTTTTAACTTAACTTTTAAGTCTTTACCTTAGCACTATCCAATCTTGATTTTTCTTCATAGAAACCAAAAATTATGATAATGATGCTGCACTCTCAAGGAAAAATTTATACATTAAAATAAAGAATCATTATTCACATAAACACACGCACACACACACACACACATCATTACGAAAACATTGTCAGTTGTGTTTCAAGCATTTAAAAATTAATTCAGAATTGTTGATCCAACTGAAGGAAGACTTAAGAAAATGTAGAAATAGAACAATCTCTGAATGGTCGCAAAAAATTGCACTCTCCTTTGTTTTTTCCAAAAATTTATACAAATGTAACTTTTGAATTGTTGAAGGTAAAAAAATTCAAGAATTCGAGTCGCAACGCAGTAATAATTACTATATAATTATTATCAATATAAAATCGAATTAAAACCATATCAGCTCACATCGAAACAAGAAACATTTTTAATCTTCTAACAATCTAGAAAAATTATAGTGTATATGGATAATTCAAATCTCTTTTTACTTAAGTATTTGATATAAATTTACTTCTTGAAGTAATAATACGTGATTTTCAATCATTCTGTGTAGTTTTTAAAAAGTAAACATTTGTAATTGGCGTAGTCAAGGTTCAATAGAAAGTAGATAAAATCGTAAAAATAAATGTATTTTTCATTGTACAACAAAATACTTAATTTTTGTTTCAGGTTCCGCGTATATAAATTTATAGTATATTAAATAAATAATAGAATCTCTTAGAAAATTGAACGACAGGATAAAATATCAGCTAAATACCACCTTTCGACATGTACATATCATCCTATGAATACTATTTTCTGTTACTGTTAGTCATTCTACCTGTATATCTCTTCTTTAAACTTTGGTCATGGCTTGGATGGGAATTATTTGTGAATAATTAAAATTTGATATTACCAAAATATAAGCTAAATGTGATGTCACCAAGTTGCGTATGCACAAATATACGCACGCACGCACGCACACACACATACAAATTGTATAAAAAAATCTTGACACATTTTCTTTAATGCAATTATGCATTATTTCTACATATAATCTGTTAAATTATTTTCGAGTTTCGTTAACAATATATGTACATATATAAACTTGAAATTTGTACCTGATAAAATACACGAAATGTAACGAACACTACCAAATCCTAATGTGATAAAATTTGAGAAAAATTCTGAAGAGTTCTGAAAAAATTAAATTTTGTTAGTGATTAAAAGTTCATCTAATCCCATTTTCCCACGATGTCTCCATATCCTGAATCTGGCAACATCTTTTCGAGTGATAATACCAATTACCTAGATGAAACATAAATATAATTAGCAGAAATTAAGTGCAGTTCCCATAATAGATTGCAAAATGTATATTAATTAGTCTCTTACCTCGTTGATATCATTTACTACCGGTACATGACGTAATCCTAACGCTCTAAAGAGTCTGAATGTTCTTGGCAGTGTGGCAGACTAAAGAAACAATTATATGAGCCTAAAATGCACTTTGATATATCAAAAAGATCTTAATGTAAAAACTACTAACGTGTTGTACTGTATAAGGGGAAGGATTCATGAAGTGTCTCAAATCAATTGTGTAAGTTTTTTCTTCATCAGTGATGGCGACTTGCTCGATGGTTGGATACCTAGGATACTCATTTCTGAACATATTTATACTTAAAGGTTTCTCCCAAAATTCTTCGTACTCGTTAAATACCTTATTTTTTAAAAGTACTATTAATTGAGAACGCAGTATTAGACCTCGGAGTCGACCGTACGAATTTATCTCGGCCTATCAAAGGACGATACAGTTAAAATAAATGTATAAAATTATTTGAAACAATTAATATTTGCTTACTACCTGATCGCTACTTGGTGGGTCAACTACCGGAAATCCATTGAATGTAACGCATTTCAAAAGTTCGACAATATGTCCGACATTTTCAACAGTTTTCAAAGTCACGACAGGATGACTCATTATCTCAGTTGCATAAATATTATTCGAGAGCGGAGGCGGCTCCCATGGAAGCAATGGAATTCCTGCCATTTGTATATGAATATCATAAATTCCCTAAGAGGTACATATTTTATTATTAAAAAACACATGATATATTTACAAGTGCAGCATACATCAAGAGACAGTAGTATCTTGGATGTCGAGTCAATCAATAATTAATACTTACCTCATTAAAGAAATCGCCAATCCACTTTGCCATTATAAGGACTATTATAACAGGCAAACCAAAATATATTCCCTGAGTTGCTTCTATTAAGATTGCGGTTAAACTTATAGTCATTCTAACTACTCCTCCTAATTGCGCAGCAGCACCTAGTAAAGCATACTTGCCAGGATCTAATACTTCCTGCAATACAATTATATAATGTAACACAGCAATAATTTTATTTTGTACGCTATATCAGCTATTCTCTTTTCACGATTCTTACACAATGTGGACACAGCTTCGCGAGAGCCGATCCAATTAATCTACCCCAAGCAGATCCAATCAATAGAGAGGGAATGAAGAGGCCACTTGACATCGATAAGCCGAAAGTCGTGGCAGCGAGAAAAAAATACAATACGACAAAGATAGCTAGCGTCAGATCATCGTGAGCTCCTACAAATACGCAATTTATATTGCGTTTGTCTTTTGATTTTCATTGCTTATTGCATGTTGTATACCTTTAGGATCGTGAAATAAGGATCGTACACTGCTTTCTGGAGTTTGAAACCATAAAGAGGCGACTGCATTGTATTGCCCCTCTGCGCAATACATTTGAACTGGATACTTGGTGGGGTCATTACCCAATGGTTTACAGTCATTGACAAAGTATATCATTAGAGATCCCATCGTTGCGCTTAATATCGCCACCAGAATAGCCTCAATGACTTTTTGCCACTTTTGTGTCACAAATCGCAAACGAAAGCAAGTAATCTTATAATTCACGTGATTCCAAAAAGCACCGAGTAGTCCGCCAAACGTGCCCATTAGCATGAACAGAGGTATCTCGTAGATTTCATATGGGATTGAGTTGAATTTTCCTAGATTCAACAAGCCCGGATACGAAAGATCTCCAGGATGTCCGTGGTAAGCGCTCAAGATCACGTTTAAAGTGAACGTAGTGATCACGCTGGCGAAGAAAGTTCTCCATGTGAGGCTTTGATTGAAAAAACTAGTACCCTCTTCTATACTGAACAAGACTCCACCTAAAGAGTACAAAAAACAAAAAATACAAATTACAAAATATATTTCTTGTAGTATAAGTGTATTAATTTTTTCATAGTGTTAATATTTTTATATGCGGCAATCTCTAAAGTTTTCACTCGCTTTAAAAACAAATTATCGGACGTGAACAACACATCAATTCTAGCTGACATCTGGCCTGGAAGGATTTGAAGGATGATTTTTCAAGTATCACACCATCAAATGGATTGTGACACCATCTTTTAAAGATTTATCTTATCAAACCACTCATGTCTATATACGAAATTTAAATCAACTAAAAGAAATGCCTCAAGTTATAATAGATGTCAAGGAATAATATATCTGTATGTATTTTAAATAAATTTATTTCAGACATATGACTGCGCTGATTACTTTCTAGAAATTTAAATATTTTTTTTGCAATGTATGAATAAATAAATGTGATGGTAAGAAGTCTTTTTTATTATTTATGTACTTTTATGTAATTTTAAGTAATATAAGTAAAATTTATTGATAATTCGATGTAAAAAAATTCTTATTTATATGGTTTCTGTTTCTTAACATCTGAATGATGATTCTTATGTATTTTACTCCATAAAGTAAAAGAACAAAATTGCAAATTGTTTAAATTTGTGGAGTTTTATTAAAGTTCTTGATTTCTCAAAAAAAAAAAAAAAAAAAAAAATGTGAAACTTTTTAAATTTTATATTCTTGTTCGGCAATTGAGAATATATGAGTCATTCAGGTGTTGAGGAACAGAAACCTTGTAAATCAGTATAATTTATAGTAAAGAGATAAATCAATTCTAAATTGACAAAAATTAGTTTCCCACTAAAAATAATGTGCAAGAAATAGAACACTACACGTATCCATTAATATTTAATAGGACTTACCGATGGGTGCTCCGAAAGCCGCCGATACTCCAGACGCAGCGCCTCCGGACACAAACTCTCGTTTCTCATGATCCTCTCTAAAGTATTCAAATATTTTCAAGTCTTTCTTAAAAGTAGTACTTTTACCCTGAGAAATCCCTGCGGCTACGACGGCACCAGAATGGATCATAGGACCTTCCTGAAGTACACGAGATGTGAACGATGCTGACAAATAGAAAGAACGATGATGAACCACTTACCTTGCCTCCTGCTAAGCCTCCGACTACAGTGCATATAACACCAATAGTTTTCACAGCCAGAGTTTTAATACGCACAACTCGTGGTATTTTGATTCCATTTAAATAACATTTCACTTGTGGAATACCACTCCCTGCAGCAACAGGTTCAATATAGGATACTAAGACAGCACCTATGAAAACTGGTACTACATTTAGCACTAACCACATCATGTATGGTAACCAAAGGCAACCTTGCATCACACAATGGTCCACATCTATCGACACGAAGTTCGCATATTATTCTATATATCATAGAACATGTTTATATTGATTAAACCACTCTAAATGTTAGAAAACATACATTTCTTAAGCCAACCATATTTTAGGCTGGATAATTCTTCTATCAGTATGTCTACAAAGCACGCTATGAGAGCAGTACAAATTCCGATTAAGAGAAAGATAAACCACCTGGCAAAGTTCTTTCTAACGATAAATTTGTATCCTTTCTTCCTCTCCTCATCTTGTAGAAGATAATTTTCACAAGGGTCATAATCCAGACTCTGAAAAAAAGATGCTATTAATTCATCTTACCAAGCAAAGACAATATATATAAATGAAATATAGTAAAACATAAATACATGTGTTTAAACAGGATCAGAAAAAAAAGATGGTTGTAATTAATTCATAATTAAAAATTCATCATGAAGCAATTACCTCATAATTAGTTGACAAGAAATTAGTTGCTCCTGGGGTTATATCTCTGATATATAGTCTTTTGGATTGACCTGAGATAGCGTCTATATCACTGCATGTTATGTTCATGTTAGCGATGCTCTGTGTTGACACAATAAAGAAAAAAATTCTAGGCTATATTTAGAAATTTCATTCACTCAGGTATACTCATGTATCATTTTATGTTTAACATTTTGTGAACAACAAGGTTAAAATGATACATAAAATCGTGGTGGAAGAATAAAAGCCATATGACTTTCTTCTATTATGCATGGAGCCACTTAGGTGGTGTTTCCAAATGTAATCCTAGAAGCAATGCTCCATACTTCTATATAGATATATATTTTTTAATACTTCTAATGCCTGTTCTTTTTAATTGAACGTCTTGCAACATGAAAAAAAAGAGGAAAGATGAACTGTTGGAAGACACTCGCTAGAATAATTTTAAAATTCATCTAAAAATTCAAGAAATATGGGGGGGGGGGGAAGAGAAAGAGATGCATGAGAGCATGATAACCAGAAAATTCGATATACCCGGAATCGCACGTCGATATCCTCGTTCGAATACGATGCAAAATTATTCCTCGGCTTAATCAGCCTTTCTCTATCGTCCTCATCATAAACATCAATTCTGTCATTATCTCCTCCATCATTTTCGCCACTGCTTTGCATTGACGAATTCATCATTTCTGAGCGACAGGATTTAATGATCGGCTCTTAGTCACATCTCTCTCAGAGTCCTTGGAGACAAAACGACAAACTACGAGTTCATATCATGTAGTAATGTTGACGTAGGCTTAGACAAGTAGCATGTGTATAACAACTATGGCAGTATATAGCATACATGCACGAAGAAATTATATACCATCTTCCTCTTTGAATTGTCCCGCAACTGATAGATAAATCGGCTGAGACTAGCCCACTGATGTTCAAATGTCGAAAAATAGAACTTATAATAAATAAACGCGATTCACCGATCACTACAAACTGGAAAAAATCCTTAAATGGACGATGCAATAGTTAGATTAGAAAGAAACACGTCCGCCTCGTTTGGTTTGGACTCGTTGAGTGACTTGTCGAGTGTCGAGACTTATAAAATCATACGGTAAAAAGATGGTTAAGGCTGCATTCGGGAAGACGTTATTAGCACTATTTGCATCATTCAATCTTCATTGTCCATTAGGCATGAGACAAGGATAGTATTGCACAAATGCGCGCTCTTTGAATGCATCCTTGTATGTAGTATACGTATATACAATCGAATCATTAAAAACAGAGAGAACGCGATTGTGACTTGTGACTAGTGTTGACTAGTGTGGTGATTCATCGCTATGTCATTTGACTGACGTAATTGCGGAAGCTAGAGATCCTGGCTGCGTTTGGGGAGCGCGCTATCAATGCTATTTGAGTATTTGGGTTTGTTCGCGTCGCATGCTCCAATATGTTCCAATATGCTCTTAAGCCTTGTGTCCACGATGCTAGAAATCAGTCCGAGACCTCGGATGAAGAAAGAATTGACCAATCGCAATGGTCATGTGATCAAATTGTTCAAATGTGATTTGTTAATTTTTTCTCTGTCCGAGATTTTGGACCGATTTCTAGCATCGTGGATACAAGGCTTTACCATAGCTCCTACTCACTCCAACGCGCTTGATAGAGTGAGTAGGAGCTATGGTAGGAGTATGTTGGAACATGTTGGAGCATGCGACGCGAACAAACCTTTTGTCATACTAGGCTGCGTTCGAATTCCCACTCGGGTGTCATGTCATCCTTGTTTAACGTTCGATAAACAACAAAGATGATATGACATCCGGGGAGCACCTGGGTGGGAATCCGAACGCAGCCCTAGAGGTCTGTTTTCTGTGGCTGAATCAGTGTACACTTTTGGAACTTAAAGTGAAATAGGTTTGCAGAGCGTCGTACGACGCACATCGGATGCAGAAAAAATTAAAAAAAATTAATTTTTTTGTAATAATTTTAAATGTAATTTTCTAATTAAATCACGAAAATTTTTTGACGGACGGCCGTCTTTAATAGAATTTCGTCGGTGTTATTTAATTGTAAATAATTTTTTCGTTTCTCCAGGCAATTTAATTTTTTGAATTTGTATTTAACTTTAACAAGGATGCAGTATAATATAAATATCAGGATGGATATTTGAAATATCAAGATATAATTGCAACTGTTTACAGACATACCTTACGTTTACTAAAAGTGCGTTCCATTTCACTTATGATGCGTGTGATATATCATTTCATTCCTCTTAATACTCGATGAATAACAAGGATAAAATGTGCATCATGCGTGAAACGGAATGCACTACAAGTTTGTATGTGGAATTCATATTGAGTTACAAATATAACGAATCCTAGGCCGGTATTTATAGTCCGTTTTTATTTCAAGACCGTCTTAAGTAATGTGTTTTAAAATACTATAATACAGCTCTCCGATTGGTTTGTGACATGTTTAGACTTTACTTAAGATGGTTTTGAATATATCCCAGTAATGAAGAATAAAAAATTAAAATGGATTGCAATGTTCATGGGGGTATTTTAGTCTATTGAATCCAATCGAATAAAAAATGTTTGTTATTCAGTTGAATTTAATTAAATTAAACTGGATTCAATTGGATTAAAAAACTGTATTTTCTATTAAAAATTTTGAATTGAGCAGTATTCATTATATGCACTGAAAAGCTGATACTATTTTTAGATTGAAAGACATAGAAATGTGATATAATTCCTGTAAATGAATAAAAATAAATTCGAATTTATTTTAGAAAGACTTATTTTAACGTTCACCACCCACGAATGCGTATTTCTGAAAATCTGAATCCATTTCAATCCATTTCTTTACTCGGATAAAAATCGACTGCGAATATCGACTACAATCAACTCTTACAGTTTAAATATAGACTAATTTAATTGTTTAATGCTAACTGAAGTTCCGGTTCTCAACATTTCTAATCTCCAGGTACAACGTAAATAGCGTATGAAGAGCCTCTAGTCGGGTGTTCTCTTGCGTGGGAATGTCCAAAAGGTTGCAGACCACATCGACCAATTGCGGCAGATCACAGTCGAGCTCTGATAGATCCAGCTGCAGTTCATTCAGTTTTTCTTCCACTTGCGGCGGCCACTGCTGCATCAATCCATCGATGTCCGGCATCGCATGGTTCAGTTGCACACCCGGCAGATGTTTACTCCTGTGTAACTGATTCATATCGTCAATCCATTTATCAATTGACTTGCTGTTTCTCTCAGCATCCTCTATCCTTTTGACGACCGCCTGTCTCGTAGCAGCGCCGGCGCTCCTAGAATGATTGCGTAATTGCAAATGCAGCACCGCTGGATCCGACTGATTGGTACAGGGCTCGTCTAATACAGTTAGGCCAATTTTATCTTCGACTCCGTCGGGCCTCGGTATCTTTATGAAGGCATCTATATCGCCGACTGCCGGTATGTAGTCAGGAATGAATGGTATCAACTTGTAGTTAAGCTCGATTTTCTGTGGCGTGTACCTGGATAAATTGACGAGATTAAAATCCATCGTTTGATTGTATGTAAATTTACAAGAAATTTTAATTAAGCACTAAAAAGAAATGATTTAAGCACTAAGATCCACTTCGACCGAATGTATATGGTTCTTCTTATTTAAAATTTGATTTATATATCTGGAGACACGATAGTGTCTCGGTGCTAAGACAAGCAAAGTGTCATGGCGCGAGATACTACTGTGCTCTTTTACGCGAGCCGGCAAAGTTGCGGCAGATCTGAAGACATGGTGCTCAATAATGTCTGAACTGATCAAGTTCTATATACACTCAATCGATAGCTACCGCTCAGATTGTATAATGAAAATGCTTTTATTACTTTTCTAAATGTCCTACGAGTGGATATTGCGACGCAAACCTCTGAATCTTTGAATTTTATCATCATTTTAAATGAGCCTTTTTGTTGTTTTAGCTTTGCGACAGGAATCGCTACTTTGACAATCCATGAATACTGAATATTAATGGATATATACAGCTATGTTTGGTGAATAGATATTATCAAAAAGATGAAATACTGAATATGCAAAAGTATTTCTTAATATGTTAAAGTATTTCTTTTATAAATAAACCTAATCAGAGTCAAGCTTTACTAACTTTCACGTCATTGTAAAATAGCATCGATTTGAAATAAATTTTCTCATATATAAACATGTATAAAAATGTCGTAGATAAGATTTGTTATAACTATATATATTTATGAAAACAATAAGAAATTTACATATATAGTTATATATATAAGAATTAGTATCATATAAAATTATGAAATTATGTTATACATAACATAATTATTTATATTTCTATGTATAATTTTATATGGTTATATATGACTAATACGATAAAATTTTCATCGGGACTAGATATAATAATTTATCGAATGTATATCCAGATTTACTCAGATATAATTAAAAATCATAAAGGAATCAATGTAATTTATTTTGGGCATTCGAATATAGATATGGTTATATGCAAACGTACATGACCAGATCTGAATATCAGATGATTTAATAGCAAACATAGGAAATCATATTTGAGCATATCTAACCAAATATATTTAATCTGGTCAGATCCAATAATTTTTTTCCTTAGGTAATTTTATTAATATTTTTCTTTATTTAATTATTGTTGTTCTGAATTAGCAAATAAATCCATAAATTTTAATAGAAAATACGCTAAATACTTGCCTCATTATATTTTGAAATAATTCCTTGACCTCCGTCGATGCTTCCAGATTCTCGAATTCCTTAGGATCATACAAATTGATCGGTTTTGCAATGCTGGTACCCTGTATGTCATCGTCGTCGCTCTCCTCACTGTCCGAAGGATCGCTGCCAATTTCCATCGATTTCTCAATGCCAACATCTTTGTTCGAGTATCTACCAGATTAAAACATATAAATACATGCATATATATACTGTGTTCATATTTTACATCTTTAAGTATTAACAGTCATGTAACAAAGAAATGTATAATGCTAATTCTACAATGGCTACGTTCAGCAGAATGTTTATTTTGCAACTGTTGGAAATTTTCTTCATGCTGATTGGATTATATTTTTAGATTTAGAAGAATCATGGTCTTACCACAGCAGACAATCATAAAACGGTTGCAAAACCGTTGTGTTCTGCTGAAGCTGAACGCAGCCAATGAGTCGGTACTTCGGACTATAGGCTCGTCGTAGAATCAGCATAACAGAAAAATTTTACGAAATTCTGATGTCATTAGATGCGCGTTATTGTAAATTAGCGGTAATAAGCCGGGATTTGCATGAGGCGATTACCTCTTGAATTCGTGCCTGCTATCACGTGGCGAGCTGGACGCTAACGGGTCCGTGCTGTCGCTCGTTATGCTTTTTCTGGTCCTCCTGGAACTCAAGAGTCCACGGTTTATCGGGCTCTTGATTTCCTCGGCATTACGCACCACGATCGCCTCGTCGAATTTACCAAACGCTGTAATGTCACGTGTTTTTTCATCCTCTTCGTCACTACTGTCCTTGATATCCATGGTCGGCGCCGAGGAGTGTCCATTGGCACGTCCTTCGACGATCGCTCTCAGGGTCTGTATGACGACGAATGTGAGTAGACCCGAGAGCGAATTATTCGACGGCTTTTATTATGATTTATCTAACGTAGATTTATGATTGATAAAAGTGACAGGAAGGAAAAGAATACTCTATTCGACTTGTTATATCGACGCTACTAGCTACCACCGGTGACCGGTTACCTTCACATTAGACGATGACAGTAGTTTGTTTTGTTAACGTTGCCATAGTTTTATCGATTGGAATTAGCTGCTGAAAACTGCTGAAAGAATATAAGCATACGCTGCGGGCTGCGTTCCATTTGACGCTCACAACTCTTGTGAGTATCATTTGTCCTTGTTTAACATTTGATAAATAACAAAGATAAAATGATTTCAAGAGCACTGTGAACAAAGAGCATGAACAGCGTAAACATCAAATGGAAATAATCTATATGCATTAGAAATGAAAGATTTTTTAATTGAAAATTAAAATTCAACACATATACGTACAATTAAAATAAAACAAAGTAAAATTAAAATTATGAGTAAATTAAAAATTGTTAATTAAAATTAAAATTTGAGTGCGTGCGCGCGCGTGTGTGTGTATGTGTGTAATCGCACGTACGCACACAAAGCGAGAAAACGCATAATTAAAATTCTTGCAAAATGTATAATATTAAAATAGAAATATTTTTCAATAAAACAATAGTCATATTTGATAGCAAGGTATAAGATATACCTGTAAAAAATATACTGAAAACCTCTCTCTCTTCTTTTTATTTCTTAAAATAAAATAAAATTATGTTTAATTAAAATAAAAGCAAAATTTAAATAAAAAATACAAACATGAAAGGAATAATGAATAAATAACAATGTGAAAAGCATACTCTAATTTTTCTGTCGTCGTAATATGTTTTATCATTGTATGTTTATATATAATATATATAATGAGTTTTTCCGTAAGATAACTAAATGGGTAATTCCCTTCTTGCTTCTGAGTGATGCTTTTTTTATCAATAGGAATTCCCGGCTTCTCGGTATAGGTTTAAAATGAATTAGATTATGTTTCGTAAACGCACTTTAATCGGACTCTGCAGCCGCAATAATTTATTGCTTAATTATTTTGCAATAATATATTCGTGTTTAAATAAGTTGTAGCACGAGTTCATGCATTTTTCATTTTGTGTATTTCTTATTTCTAATTTCTATTCGTATTTTACAGCAATATTATTGTACTTAAAAAAATTTTTAATGTTTTCGCTCTATGTATTTTCTTTTATATATTTTTCATTTCTATATATTTTTAGTTTTGTTTAGAATGACTACAATAATTAAAAAATTGTAAGATTCGATAGAATTTTTCTATCACGTGCTCTTTATCATAAACGGCTTTACTCGAGCTTAGTCTTTAATCTCAATAAATATAAGATAGTATATTATACGTTTCCATCAGGTATTTATAAATACCTAGTAATAAATACGTAGATTAAACATATACTAATTTCATATAATTGTAGTTGTGATGTCCGGCTAGACGTTGTCATATACTAAATGTATTCGGTTTTTTAACATTATTCTTCAACCTATTAAAATTATATTTGATAAACGTGGCATTATCGCAACTAAAATTATATGGAACTGATATACGTTGGATCTACTACATTTATTATAGATTATACCATTTGCACAATAGTACTTTGTAAACGTTTACAAATGAGATTTCTTTTATAAATGATATATGTTTTCAATAAATAGTTTTTTCGATTATATAAACATAAATACACTCTTAAAATTAAACTTTTTTTTTCGTATATTGATTTTCAACGTAGAAAATCTATTTTGTATTGTATTATGCAAACATAATAAAAACGGATCATATATTACGCACGATCGCGTAAAAATAGTAAAAATTAAAATGTTTATCTGCTATACCACTTTTATTTTTATACCATTTTTATACCTACTTTATATTTAATGAATGTTTAACATATCATCATGTGTTTATTGGGATATTATGGGTACGCAATTCACATAATCCAAAAATGAAAGACACTGTCCGCGGAGATAAAGATGGCTTTTGTTTTATAACAGGCAATACAGACAAGTGTAATAAATTGCTGACGTTGTAGCTGATGCGTCTCATTATCTACCGATAACATATCCTACAAATGGGTTAATTGCTATTGAAAACGTTGAACCAGTAGGAATTTGCAAACTGTCATAAAGCATTTTTTTTATTAATGCAGGTTGTAAGTCGATTACAAACATATTGTGTAATCCCATTTACAGAGACTATAATAATCGGTAATACAATGTATGCAACGTATAAACGTTGATAAAAGTGCAGCGTATAAACGTTGATAAAAATATAAAAACGAAAGTCTCAAGAGAATTGCTCTTCATGCAATAAAAAGACAATATAAACTATAACAAGGAAAACAGTTATAATAAAAAATAGTTATTAAATTATTAAAAATTGCTAGAGAACGCTCGCAAGAAGTAATTGCGATCCTTTTCAGACGAAGAAGATATTTTCATCTGGAATTAAACGACGAACTGTTATGAATACATATCTTCATTGATTAGCTTCGACGGCGATCTTTTTTCTTTAAATCGGATATTTTCCATAGACATGGCCGCTCCTAGTGCGTCTTATCAACCATTTTCGGGGTATCGTCTTAGAAACAGGACGATTTGCCTGTGTCTTTTGAGAATGATTAATGTAACTAGAGTGGGCGTTGTAATGCGAGATTCTTGATTCTAAAGCACAAAGAGAAATAAGAGGATTGACTTCATGAAACAGATTCGGATTGAGTCTGTAAAATCATTGCGTTATCTCATGCATTGGCTTAGTTTACATCGTGCACTTGATACGGGTATTAACTAGTAACTTTCTATTGAATAATTTTTATTTCAGCGATACATGTAAACATATATATTATATGTGTATTTAATTAATTATTTTAATGCATATTGTACCAATTTAGTACATTATTCTTTGAATACATCGCTGAAATTAAAATAATTTAATAGAAAGTTACTAGTTGATACATGTATCAAGTGTACAATGTAAACTAGGCAATTATGTATTTGCGATATCGCGCGACAGAATGAAGTTATAATTAGCATCATTGGAGAAATTTAGAAGCTTCAGAAAATCAAGAAGCACACTGAGTCGACCACTAACTAAAAATAATATAATATCAATGTTATAATTTTGCATTCACAATGTAACCGTTATATGTATATACCATGTATTAATATATATCACAAGTTAAATTCACTATTGATTTAACAATTTGATGCTCATAAGCATTTTAGAACAATCTTAATAATGCTGAATGACATTAAAATTTGTAAATAATTTTATTGCGAAAAATATTACCTCGGCTGGAGATCAAATCCAAATTCTTGTATCCCATCATGCGAGCATCCCAAGAATTTAGATTATCGAGGTCTTATAGTAATGTTCTTCATATTCTTCATATTCCTCATATTCTCCATATTCTGCAATAATTGGCATGTATAGGAACAATGTTTTATTTTAGGCGACGTAAATAAACTATATTAAACTAATAGCGTTTTTCATTGGCAGAACTAGTGCGCACTCAGTGCACATTAAAGCTGTTGTACACACTATTCTAATCTAAATGTAAAAGTGAGATAATTATCTCAATTAATAAAATGCCCAATGTGTACTTTATCACATAGCACAATAAAATGTATTTCGCGGTTTAATCCGTTTCTATATTTTTATTAAACGTACATCTTTATGTATCAATTTGTGTACAACGGCTTGAAAGTGCACTGAGTGCGCACTAGTTCTGTCAATTACTACGTTTACACGGCACGCTTTACGCCGAAGTTATAACATCGATGTTATAACTTCGGCGTAAAGCGTGCCGTGTAAACGTAGTAAATGAAAAACGCTATAAGAATATCATATAGGATCGTACACATGCTAGTTATTGCAGAATAAGATCTCGCGGTGTTTTAAAGACTTAGGACACTTGCACGGAATGCAAAAGATTCGGGTTCAATCCCCGATCGAGGTAATATTTTTTGTAATAAAATTATATTTACAGATTTTGATATATCATTAGCATTATTAAGATCGTTCTAAAATGCTTATGAGCATCGAATTGTTAAATTGCTAGTCACTCACACAATTTAACTCGTGATATTACTGCGACAGTTCAGTGGAGTTTGCGTTTCAAGAAAACTCATTTCCGTGCGTATAACAATTACTTTTTCCCTCTTTTACAGATTTGGAAAAAGATTTTCGAATTTGTAAAAGAGGAAAAAGTAATTGTTATACAAAAATTATGATTTAGTCTGAGATACAGACGGCTTTGAGATCCCTTTAATTGATTTGTGTTTCTCTTATATAAAAACCTTTATGTTGTGATATCCTAGTGTTCGAGATAATCGGACGCGAAATATTTTGCATTTTGGAAACGATGTCGCCCGATGGACCAATCAAGTCGCCGCAAGCGTAGAAGCAATTCGTTAATTCCGTTGTCAAATACCAGAAGGATGACTGATCCTCTTCGAGAGCCGTGGAAATCCTATTAGCCATGAAAAAAGATCTCTTGGTTAAATCTCTAACTTTTTATTAATAATTATTGTAAATATAATAATTATTAATTATTTATAAATAAATAATTAATTATTATATTTAATAGGTCGTGTTATTCCTATCGCTATCGCTATTCCTTCGCATTGTGTTTAAGGCTTTACTACTGGTAAGCTACAAGAATGTAAAATAGGGGGTTTCATTAAAAAAAAATCGAAGTGACCTTGACCCGGCCTTGGCGACACCCAAGATCAAGGGGATGTAATCATAAAAGTGAATAGATCTTTTTAAACCCTACAACTTTTGTCTGAAATATTTTTCTCAAAAGTATTTTGCTTTCGGGATATTCGACCGTTTCCAGACTTTTGACACACCCTGTATATATATTAATGTTAATATATATTACGTTAATATTTGTAACGTTACTGTATATAAATATACATAAACATGCATAAACATTCATAAGCATATAAAATTATTTATGTTTATGCAAGTTTAAACATGTTTATACATGTTTATATATATTTATATACATTTGCGCATGAAAAATGTTTATTTTATTTTTTAGCTAATATTTTTTTATATCTTAACATATACAGCATATATGAAACATAAGTTATTAAACCTAAACTATGTATTAGGGCTTGCGCACAATAGAGGAACAAAAATTAGATATTAAGATTTCAACCTATCAGAAACCGTGTATTCCGATGTAATCAATTTCTGATAGATTGAAATCTTAATATCTAATTCCTGTTCCTCTATTGTGCTTAGGCCCTTACAACATAAATAAATAATACATTTATGTAATAGGGCGCTAATTCGTTAACTTTAACATCGTATAACAACGAACCGAAAGCTCAGATCAAAAAATATCTCAGGAGTTTTCCACTTGGATTCTTGTCTTATATTTCATGATATGTTCCATATATGTTTTTTTAGTTACGTCCTGTATAGTTATTATTAACAACATTATAATAGTAATAATTATAATTATAGTAACACGTAATTATAGTGACAAATATAAAAAAATTTTTTAGTGTTCCATTATTAGGCGATATATAAACTTACGTCTCAATGTTATTTATGTCGTAGTGCGATGCTTCGCTCTTAGGATAATTCGTGGACAATATCATGAAAGTGAAGAAAAGTCCACAAATGATGAGGAATATGAAAAGATCAGCGGCGGGATGCTGCGGCGCGACGGCGTGTATTTTTGGACTCGTGTTATCGAGATCTTCCTCCACAGGAGCGAACCATGTAAATTTGTGGAAGACGAAGTCCTGTAACTCATAAAATTGTAATCGCAAGCAGAGTATGTTACATGCACATAATGTAATGAGAAATGAGGAGTTCGCATAATTCAATTGTTGTTGAAGCGATAAGAAGTACATTATAACGCTAACATAAAAATATAATGATAGAGAGAAATATTACTGTCAGTTTCTTTCACAAGCGGGTTAGGTGTAAAATACGTACTCGCAAAAATATTAAAATCTGCCAGACAATCAATTGGACCAGATAATACACATCGATTAGATTATCCATAATCGATTATCATTCATTGATCGTCTTCGGACTGATTTAAAAGTAATTTTCTGAAATATATGATTTTGTCGTGCCGTCGTGTAGTGTCATTTTTGTTAAGAAAGAAGTTCGTTTGATCATTTAATTAAAAAGTCTAACAAAGGCATCGCGACATCGAATTGACAGTCATTTTTTCTCTCTTAAGTCTTTTTTTTCAACTTCATTATATAAAAAAATTAGACATTTCTATGATACATAATATGACATTTCTATTCTATTGTACTCGTTTTACAAGAACTGTTTTAAAGAATCACTTTAATAATATAAAATTAAAATTTAATTAAATAATTAAATAATCTAATTTTTACGCTTCAAGTAAAAAATTTGGTACTACTTTTTAAAAGTTGACATTTTTTAAACTACTTATCCATGTCCAACAATGTGCTTTATATAACAATAATTTTTTAGATTTAATAACAGTTACTGGATCTAAGAATTGTGTACATGGATATATGCGTATGTATTGTGTGATACAATTATAATTCTATTATATCACACGGTTTTAAAGAATCTCTTATTCATGAGTTTTAAGAGAGTAGATGAATTTAACTGAAACTAACTATTAGGAATTACTTGCGGGCACGGAAAGATCTTATTGATATTTAGATGCCGAGTTCATATATACCCCGGAAGATCCTTACTGTAGATATATATCTAAGAACTTAAAAAAATATGCTAGTTTACCGCGATCATTACATCAGGTAGAAAAAATGAAAGGTGGAGCACGTGATGCATATGCAGTATCGTATGTGCAGCTTGGGAAACTGATAATCTAATCGAAGGACAGATTTATCCGACGATTTACGCAGGATTTGTTGATCAATCAGTGCCTAAGGAGCGGGATAGATCTCGAGATTGCGAGTGTCCTCGAGCGATGCGAATACAAGGAGTGCACCAGTATCTTTGTCTTTCGTCGGTCGGATATTTGCAAACGCGACGGTGCCCTCGGTAAAATTATCCCGTACGCTTCCTGATGAGACGTTATCTTCACAGCGGGGCAGGAAATTTTCAGTCATTCAATTGTATCTTCGCAGAGACTCCGTTCGGTTTTCTCCGTTAAATGAAAACTTTAAATTAGCGATATTCTAAAAGAGAAATATCTGTGCGCCAAGTTAGAATTCGCGAGTGACTGCTACGTGTGAAGTGTTAATACTTTACCTACCAACTTGCAGAACATCTAGTTTGTCATAAAATCTCACGAAAATATTGTATGAAATGCGAAGAAGAGGATCGTGATTATTGTTCGAAATATCGTGAGAGTGCTACCTTGATTTAATATTCTAACGCAAAGTATATCCGTGAGTGAGGATAAGATAAAGATATTGTTCCAGTGCGAGAGTGATTGCCATAGGGTCCTGGTTTCGATATTTATTGGTAAAAAAGTTCTGAGCAATTTTTCGCACGCGGCAATTAACATTACGTCACAGACGAAAATTTTGAAGATTAATTTTTACTTTTTCGCGACTCACGTTTTTTATGCGACACAATGACGGACAGGATAGAAGACGGCATTTATGTAAGGCTTTCTAGAATTATGTGTAAAACACATAAAATCCTAAAAATTTCCTGTTAATTTTATTTGCGAACCGTTTTTTTTAGAGACAAAATGGCTATACTAACGAGGCCTTCCAGCTGGACGGTTTTGACTCTTTGAAACCGGATTCTCACGGAAATACTTCACTTGATAAACGGCAAGAGCAATCTGAAAGTTCAGTACGTATTATATCATTATCGCGCCAAATCAACGGAAATACGACATTAATTATACAAAATAAATCTTTGATTATTGGACGTTTACTAAGGAGGCGGAATGGGGAGGTAGACTGGAGTTTCTGATGGCTTGTATAGCCACTTCCGTCGGACTGGGTAACGTGTGGAGGTTTCCGTTCACCGCGTACGAGAACGGCGGTGGTGCCTTCCTAATACCCTATATTATAGTCCTGATCCTAGTCGGGAAACCGTTTTATCTCCTGGAGGGACTCTTGGGTCAGTTCACCAGTAGATCTTGTGCAAAAACATGGTACATGACGCCGGCTATGAAGGGTAAGGAAAATAAAACCGGTCTATTTTTTATACCAAATTAACTTAACTCTTGAATGCGCGTGACTTGTTTTATAAAGTAAAAACCAGGATTGACAACGTTATCTCATAAAAATAACTCGTTGCCGTTCTTTTTCCTAAAAAAATAACTCGTTCCCGTTACTCATTATTGATTTGTAAAAATAACTTGTTACCATTATCGTTATTCAAAATATAATGATTCAGACTGATTATTTACTGCAAGTATCGTAGGGTATACGTAATGTGAATTTCAAATTTTTTCGTAGTGAATAACAGAACGCAATCTCAATTGAAATCTCTATGGTAGCTTGTCGCTATAAGCTGAAATGAACGTATCAATTCATTCGTTTTCAGGATTGGGATACTCGCAGGCTTTCGGTGCGTTCTGCGTCGTTTCGTACTACAGCGCTTTGATGGCATTGACCCTGTACTATTTAGTATCGAGCTTCCAGTCTGAGTTACCGTGGTCGTTCTGTCGTCCGGAATGGAAAGATTATTGCATCGATGACTCGATGTTTAAAAATGTCTCCGAGGATCGTATCGCTACCATTCAAAGTTCCTCGGAATTGTATTTCAGGTTTGAGACTGAAACAGCATTAACCCGTAAATGACACTTGGGTGTGAATTCGCACCAGCAAAATTTCCAACTTATAGGTATTTAAAAAAATTGGTTTCGTTTAACACGCAGTTTTGAATAAATAACATTTTGGTTGTTGAGAATTCAATGTTACCTATCAACTGGTTAGAAAATTTTATATTTAAAAACGTAGATTTTACTTTAATTTTATATTTTTAATTTTCAGAAGATATAAAACATTAAAAACGCCTGGTACGAATTTGCACCCATTGTACAATAGATCTTTACGGATACTCAAAAGGGACGTGCTCAAAATGTCCCTTATGGGTTAAATAGCTTTGTTTTTAAAGTTTTACTGTAATATTGAGAATGATCATTATTTAATATCAAACATTTTCTTTAATTTCAAACATCGAACAATCTTTTTAGCAATAACTAATAAGATTAATTTTTATATGATTTTTATAGGAAGATAGTGTTACAGGAATATTCGTCCATCGAGGACGGTATCGGTGTGCCGTCCTGGCATTTGTCAATATATCTGTTCCTCAGTTGGGTCTGCGTCTTTGGAGTGCTCTTCCGCGGCGTGAAGAGCGCCGGCAAAGCCGTCTATTTCCTTGCATTATTTCCTTATATCGTGATGATAGCTCTACTGATCAGAGCCGTCACTCTTGAGGGTGCCGTCGATGGCATCCTCTTCTTTGTAACTCCGAAATGGGACGCTCTGTGGAAGCCCACTGTCTGGTACGCCGCTATCACACAATGTTTCTTCTCCTTGTCAGTCTGCTTCGGTCCGATCATCAACTATTCGTCTTATAATAATTTTGAACACAGAGTGGACAGGTAAAATAATGTATAACGATCAAAGATAAGCTATAAATAGATTAAGAATATATTAATAAAATAAATAAAAATATTTTATAATTAAGTAAAATAAGGTTGTGTAAATTCATTTTTCCAAAATACAATATCATTTTTCGACTTACACTGTTGTTGCAAACTCGTTCGAGTTCTTAAAAGGTTCATTCCAGAATAAAAAATAAATGTTTCCTATTTTATTTTGCTCATTAGGGACGTGATGATAGTGACCACGCTGGACACATTCACTAGTCTGATAGCTGGTTGTACGATCTTTGGTATTCTCGGCAATCTGGCCCACGAGATGAATACGAAGGATATTGCCAAGGTGGTCCGCAGCGGCATTGGTTTGGCTTTTATTTCCTATCCGGACGCTTTATCGCGTTTCACTTTTATGCCACAGCTATTCTCCATCCTGTTCTTCGTCATGATGTTTGTTCTTGGCACTGGAAGCTCTGCGGCGTTGTGTGGCGCCGTATTTAGCATTTTCCGCGATCATCTGCCTAATATGAGGCAGTGGTTGCTGGTACTCTGCATCACCTGCTTCGGCTTCGTCGTCAGCCTCATCTATATCACTCCGGTTCGTTAATCATGTCACTTAAGCTTGCTATAAAAGTACATATAGTTGACACAAACATTAGTTATAAATGTTATGCGTTTAATCGATACTTGATAACTAATCGTACACGTGTTTGAGAGATATACAGGTGCACGCGAAATGTTAACACTAAATTCATTGAATGCTAAATGAATGAAGAATTAAGTTTAGAAATTATATAGAATAAAAGCACTAAATGTGGATTAGGCACTAGTTCTGAATCACATACTATACTCAAATAATTATAGTATTTTCTATCAAATAATGCATATCACAAGATTCTTTAGCATTTGTTTTATCTTTTCCAAGTATCAGTCGTTTTTCATTTATTAGCAACAACGCTGCACATTTTATTGATGTTAACTAATAAAACGCGAGAGATAAACTAAGATTACTAAGATATGTATCTTTAAAAATTCATTCAAAGTGTAATACCATAACGATTGCCTTATGGCTTTTACTGGAGGTAGTAAATAGCATTAGATTTCACGAAAAAAATCAATATTATACTCAGTTGAAATTAAATCCAAAAAAGATTAAGTATTTGGTAAACTGATCCGCAATTAGTACATGAGGTTTAATTGTGGATAACTGTCACTACATTATTTAATTAAAATTAAAATATAAAACACTACCAACATGAAATAAGATCATCCATAATGTAATCTTAATGATCTATTATAACTATTAAATATTTTATTAATTGTTCGGTATTATTTTGAATAAAAATATAAATTTTTTTTTTAAGAGTGATCCACAAATATGGCCTTTCCCTATGTACAGAAAGAACATTAAGAAAAAAATTATTATCTTAAGTAGTTGTTGTTTATTGCTTCTATCATGTAAAATAAATTTTTACATTTTGTAAATAATTAAAAATTTCAAAAATCTTGAACAGCAAAGATACTTTTGATGAAATGTTGATTCTGTGTTAATATTTAATAAATATTAATTATTGAATACTAAGTAAATGAAGATCAGATTTAAAGATTAAAACAAAGCTTATGAAATAAAATTATTATTATAAATTATTAAAATCAAACTTCAATTTGAAATATAGGAGAAGAAATCCAGCATGCCAAATCTAGAAATTTATATGCGTAAATGTGTACTGCCAAGAATCTTTATTCATTAACCACAATTAATATAGCAATTAACACTTAATGCAACAGAAAACAGATAAGAAATTTTATTTAAAAAAAAGACAGAAATATTATGGACAGAATATTTGCTTTCATGTTAATATTTAATAAATGTTGACAGGGTGGTCAATGGTTCATAATGTTAATCGATTATTATGGCGGTACTTTCGTGGCAATAATCGTTGGCGTTCTCGAGACAGCGACCATCTTCTGGATGTACGGTCTCTTTAATTTCCTCAACGACATGGAATTTATGCTAGGCAACAGACTAGGTGCTTACTGGCGAGCTTGCTGGCTTGTAATCACGCCTGTGCTCATGATCATCATACTGATTTACACATGCGCTACTTATGAGCCGCTCATGTATGACGGTGAACGATTTCCCGATTATGCCTATGGTCAGTGAAATTTATTTTATTTTATAATTTTATATATTCTATTTCTTAAATATCTCTTCTATCACATAGAACATAAAATCGTAAATTTCAATCATACACCATACATTATTTAAAGATCATCATTTTAGAGCGATACTTTTACATTTTTATTTTCAGGAATAGGATGGTTTGTGCTAGTTCTAGGTATATCTCCCATCGCATGGTGGATCGGCCAGAAAATAATTATGAATAGAACGTCGTCTTTCACCGAAGTAAGTATATATTTCGAGATAAATGCTAAAAAAAAACAGAAAAAAATCTCGTCAAAGAAAAATCGAAGTCATTGATTAATTTTTGCGTTAAAAAACACATTACAGTCTGTCAAAATGGCTTTTCAGCCTGCGGAAAGTAAATGGGGACCTAAAAATCCAAAGGTACACAGAGAATGGAAAGCGTTTGTGACGGAAAAGAAATTCAGAGCTCAGAGCGGTTTGATAAAAATGTTTTTTAAATAAAAGCTCTTAGCTTTATTTATTGTTTCTCATTCCATATAATTTAATCATGTGCTTTTAATTTCTATTAATTAGTATAATAGTAAAAAAGAAATAAAAATGGTTTCACGTATCATATTTTACAAAAATCTTTAATCGGAATTTTTTTTTAAAGGTAAGGTATTTCCAAAGCATTTTGTAGCGATTGATATCACTGCTTACTTCGGTAGTACAATTGTTAAAGATGACCATCCGGGACCAGATAGAGTCGAATGCTCTGCAACTGTCATCACAACTAAAGGATCACTTCCCTACCGAAAATTCTTATTAATTTATAATTAATCTAATAAGTTTTTGTAAGAATCATATAAGATCTCATAAAATACCTGTGTAAGAATACATAAAATCTTTTAAGTTCTAAAAATATCTTTTAAAATCTTGTAAGATTTTAATCGGTTTAAGATTTTCATAGAAAATCAGTACATACCTTATAAGAAAGTTCATATAGGATCTATAGATAAATACTTATAAAGAATTTAATTAGTTCTTAACATTCTTGAGGCTTTCACGCGTGCTTTCTATATAAATATTATGCTTTTCGCGGGTTTTCTCCGTGTCCAGATCCATTCTTGGAATGCCAACGATTCGTGAACCTTGCAGTCACTTTATCAAGGTGAGGAGCAGCCTGACAATGACAAATATTATCCAAGTAACGATCCTGAACAACAGTCAAAAGAGTTTAGTCATCAGTCGGACACCTTGAGTAATGCTAATGCCGGCACATACTATGACTTTCAAGCCTCATAACTCAAAAAGTATTTAATGAAAAAATATTTTATTATATAGTGTTTTGGAAAGCTCTCGAGATGTGTTATAAGAATATATAATGAAAAATGGGGTGTTCCATTAAAAAAAATTGATGTGACCTTGGCCTGACCTTGGCGACGCCATCCAAGATCAAATTGATACTACTTCATTACAAATTGCAACTTTAAAGTTCATAAATTCGTCTTCCGCTCCTGTTTCTTATAATTCATACATACTTATTATTTGTGCATGTATGAATAATAATATGTATACATAATACATATGCACACAATGAATTTATATAAATAGTTTTAATTAATATCAGATAAATAAAACAATCGATGGATTTAATTACAATCGACTAATTTATTGATCATTTAGGCATCGACTATACGGCGTAGTGGTATCAGTATTCTCTGTTGTCACCTATTATTGCGCTTTTATGGCATTGACGCTCTACTACATGGTAGCCAGCTGTCAGTCAGTGCTTCCGTGGTCCTATTGTTGGGAAGAATGGGACGACACGTGTTTCAATAACTCATCGACCGGCGAGCAATCGAAAAACGGAAGCAGAAGTTCCGCCGACCTCTATTTTAGGTGCATTAATTTTCTTCTTGCTTTTTACGATGTCATCAGAAGGCTTCTGGTACTATCCTTCTGTTTAAATGTGACGTTATTATTGCATCCGTTTGCGTACTTACTATTGTCATACGATATCAATCATAAATTATTAAGAGCCTTTTGTAGTTACCATATCACTTGTGTATGTGAAAACCTCAAACCTGTTGTTCCGTGACGAGATTCAAAATAAAAATGTCCGTATCTCTTGGAGTTATGCAATAATAACAATAATCCACTAAATTGCAGTGTAATTTATTAAATCGCTGGCATTATCTAACTTTCACTTTTTATCTTTATTATAGAATATTTTCTTTCATGTTACACTATAAGTTTCTCTTATTAAGTTTCTCTTTTTACTTTTTTCTTGTATTATTCTTAAGTCTATTTATCTACGCGATAAACGTTAAAAAAATCAGGATTTTAATTTCTCAAATAGATTAAACATTTCTAACTGTCCATATATCAGAAAATATGTCCTTAATGAAATGGGGATAGATTGAGGACAGATTCGGACTACCCTCATGAAAATTAGTTCTCGCGTTGCTAATCAGTTGGATATTCGTCTATGTGGTGATCTGCAAAGGCGTCAAGAGTACTGGCAAAGCAGCTTATTTCCTGGTTCTTTTTCTATACATCGTCATGGTCAGCCTTTTAATAAGAGCGGTGACATTGGATGGAGCGATGGACGGTATCGTTTGGTAAGCCGCCATCACGCAATCATTCTTCTCCCTCGGCGTGTGCTTCTGCGCGGTGACCATGCAGACCATGTATTCTTTCTACAATTATGTACAAAATTTACGACGTTCCGTGGTGTGAACTAGAAATCGCATACAAGCATGGTTTACAGCAGTCGAAAGAGTGATTCTTTACCTTTAATTTGCTTTTTTATTGAACATTGTACAGAACTGAAGAGATTTTTTATTCCATGCACGTCATCAAAGTTGAAGTATATTACGGGTTGGACGCTTTTGGCTTTAGGAATTCTTCCGTTTTCCTTAGGCATAATCATTGTTGAATTTCGGAATAAAGACAAGACGTACTCGAATGTAATATACATTTGCATTTTATTTAAATACAATTCTAGCATACAAATTTATGCATCGTCGAAAATTATGAAATTGTGATTAATTGCTTTTTATTTTTAGATATTCAAGCCGAGCGCCGATTGGGGTCCAAAAGACCTAAAGAAATACAATGAATGGAGGGACTTTAAACACTCGAAGAAGATATTGCGAGCACGCGTGAAGAAATCGAAAATTATAACAGCGCTATTTGGCAAAGATTAATAATTGAAATAATATAAAAGTTATAATTACTGTGTTTGTTCGTTATTCGGATTGTTTATGTTGCAATCATCGTATAGCGATCAGTAAAAAGGATAATAATATTGGCAGCTCTTTGTCACATATCACGTTACACATAGTGCAATATTACGTAACGATTTATGGAAACTAGCAAGAAGTAAAGCACACAATAATTCTTTAACTGCTATTAAATATGTAAGTGCATAATATAAGCGGATTAATAATATCTCATAAAACAATTATTATAATAGAATATTTAATTTTAAAACATTATAATTGAGCCACATCTCTATAGTTGTTCTTCTCAATTACTTGTAACATTAAATAATAAAAGAATAAAATAGCTTTCTATAAATCCACATACAGTTAAAGAATTAAAGAAGAAATAATTTTTTGTATATTCGTTAACTTATATCGTCGTTTTGCCTCGGATCCCGCCGCGGCAGAAACAACTGTAAAAACTCGAAGAACTTTATAGTATTTTGAGTCCGCATAAAATTACTCTATATTGGTTCCCTGTTTAAAAGAATATAAAGTATTTGCTTCCAGATTGGTTGCATCCTCTTCTCCCGATCTCTCGCTCTCTCCTCCTTAAAGATCCTCCAGTCCTTACGTTGCTGCACCTCTCGTGGACCCCATCCACTCACAGGTGCGAAAACTCTTTTTAACATCTTAAACAGTGCAATGAACCATGAACTGAACCATGAACTGAATCATCTGATTTTTAATAAAATTTTTTCATAAAATTTTTCACGTGCTTGTAACGCGTTTTGTATCGTGACTTTCTTTTCGAGGCGATACCTGTATAAATGGCAATTTTCGATTCTTTAACATCGCAATCAGCATCCATAGCGGTATTTGAACAACGCCGATGCTGAGTATTGTCCATCCAATAGCGTGTGCGTATCCCGGCAACGATGTTCCACCGTAGGTCAAAGGCGATAAAGTGGCTATGGTATAAATGAAGATTGTTATTAATATAAACGGTGTCACTATAAACCAGCACATCCTCCAATAGACGCTTGGCTTTCGGTCCAGCATAAATTCCAAGTCCTCCAAAAAGTTCTCTAGACCTGAATTAAGCAATGATAATTAGAAGCACAAATAGAACTAACAAGGAAACCTACCGAAGTGTTACACTCTGATTTTGATAAGCTTCTTAAAAATAATTCTTACCATAAAACCATACTACTCCAGTCATCTCAAATGACGCCAGGATAAAAACGACGAATGACGTACCGTAATAGTCTACTAAAGTTAATATGAACTGCCCGCCCTGTAAAATTCTCTCATTGCTAAGACTGTATACACACACACACGATAGATATTAAGATTAGTTCCCTTTAATTGAGTAGCATAATTTTATACTAACCGGTGTTACGTAGACCGTGCCAATTGAAAAACCAAGCAAACAGGTTGGAACTACGATTTGCCACGTTTTTAAGCTCGGAAACTGTTCGTTTATCACTGTGATGATGCCCGTGGTCATTCCTACCGCGCTGCCGACACCAAGGACAAACATCATAAAAAAAAAGAGCACGGCGAATAGCTGCAAAAATTATTTTATATTTTAATTAATATTAAATAACATTTCAAATAATATTTGTAAGTAATAATATTTTAGTATTAAATAATAGTTTAACGATAGAATAAATTTACGGAGAAATAAAATGTTACATTAAAAAAAAACATTTAACATTTTAATTAACGAACGGTATTAAGCAATACCTATATATAACAAAATAAATATTAGTATTACCTGCGGTAGAAAGTTAAATTTCGCTATCGCATCGGGATAAGACACAAATGCTAAACCAGCTCCGCCTTTGACCACTTTGGATATATCTTGCACCCCTAATTCATACGCCAGATTGCCGAGAATTCCGAATATCGTGCAGCCGGCTACCATACTCGTAATCGTGTCCAATGAAGTAATTATTATGACATCTCTAAGTTCATATGTTATGTTGAATAGTTTTATGAAGCCTTTAAAATGCTCACACGTAAACGCATACACAATTTCGTGAGTAACTTATTTTCATAATTATATACTTTTTTCGTATTTCACCTGTAAATGTTGTGCTTGAAACTATTATGCGAGGAGTACGTGATGATGCTGCCGAAACAGACGGAGAGTGAGAAAAAGCATTGGGTCACGGCTGCATACCAAACGGTCGGCTCCAGAAGTTTGGACCATTTCGGAGTGATGAAATACAAGATCCCGTCCATTGAGCCATCTAGAGTAACCGTACGAACTAGTAGTGTGAGCAGCACGATGTATGGGAAAATAGCTAGGAAATAAGAAAATTTTCCTGAGCTCTTTACACCCTGAAAGAGCACCATGCAGACCGCCGCCCAGCTGCCAAGTAGGCATAACGTTAACTTCCAGTCCGGCCATCCGATTCCGTCATCGATATTCTCCTTCTCGTGTAACACTACTCGTCTGTAAATCATTTGATCTTCAAAAACAATTAGTGCCTTCTATGTCTATTTTAGTGCAATTACTGTTATATCGAATATGATATATTAGGAATGTGATTTAGTTTTGAGGGTTTTGCAAGAGATGATACTAATCAGTGTTATCAAAGACATTCCAATCGCAGCTATTGTTTTTTAATGCTTTACTATTACTCCATGATATTTAGTCATTTACTAACAATAGACGCAGTAAACATCGTGTTTATATCATTTAAAAAATAGAGATTCCTAAAGAGCATTTTCGACATGCGGTGCTTTCGTTTTTTAATAGGAAGAAGACAGCGACTGTAGGTCATAGAATTCTGATAGAAACTTATAGTAACGTTGCTCCATCAATTAAGACATGTGAATATTGGTTCAGGCGATTCAAAGGTGGCGATTTCAATGTTAACGCAAAGATTGCTCGAGACAACCAAAACAGTTAGAAAATGCAGATTTGCAAGCATTATTGGACAAAAATCCAGCATAATAATATATAGATTGGCTCATGATTCGCAAGCTTTAATGAGAGATTTTTTGATCAATTTGCTGTCTACTTTTCCTTAGCGAAGATGTCAAATGAAATTATCATTTTATTGCAAATTTCTAATTTCTTATTTTTAATATTTGGTTCGATTGTAGTCGTTTTCAACATGAGACTTGTTTATTTGAAAAAAATTGCTTTATTGTGAAAATTAAGAGTATGAGTTAATTACAGTATGCACTTATTCTCATCATAGTTTACCAATCATTCTTTTGAGAATACGATGAAATAATGTACAATAATTTATGCTTACGAAAAGTATAGTTCAGCCGAGCTTTGAAACTTATCGCTGCCGTTTAAGAAATTATTTAGAATATCAGTATTTCCTTCTGCTGTGTTATCCGCGCTGTGATTCCTTTTGGTACTCGAATCGACACATGTGTCACCCCATTCCTTCAGACAGGTAGCCCAAGGCAATTCGGCGGAAAAGGATGCGATCAGATAATAAAGTGTTAATGCCATCAGTGAACTATAGTAAGTCGCCAATGCTATGGTCGAGCAGAATTGGGCCCATCCGACTCCTGTCGATGCAAGAAGCGTTTTCGCTTAAACGAGGACATTTATAAGAATTTATAAAAATTCATATCTTCTCATATGTTAACAATTTTTATAGGAAATTAATTCATAACTTGGAGAAACTTGTCCCAATAAAATTCCAAGGTCCAGAATTTAATTCGTATGAATTGTATAATCATTCGATATTCAGCATATGTTTTATCGCGATATGTGTTTTATCTCGAAATGATAGTGAAGTTTAACTCTATGCTGTAGCTGTAAAGTGTAGGTATTGCTGTTTATTTTGCCATACATATATACATACACATACAGGTATAAATATACTAATAGGTATAGGATGTTCGGTAACAAATGCGAGAAAATAAAATGATTTGAGAGGGTCCCGTTGGTCCACATTCCGCAAACATCTACTCACATAGGCTAGTGCCTAGCAATTTTTTACTGTTTTTTTTTATTAATGAGAATATTTTATATTAAATTAACCAGTGAGCGACGTGCTCAGAATATCGGATCCTTCTCGAATGATTCTAAATGACACAATAAAAAAGGAAATCAAGAATATAATAAAATTGCAAATAAGGCTTTATTATTTTCGAAAATTAGATATTCCTGCAGAAATCTAAAGAACACACATGTTTAAAAGACGTCTTAAAAAAGAGATATTTTTGAGACTTGTTTAAAATACATCTTTAAAACGACTTTTATTTTCGATTTAAGGGAAATTAAGATTTTTCGCAAACTCGCCTTCCTTAAAATCGGATAAATTTTGGCGAAAAACATCGACTTTGTTCGACACAGAATATTTATTTACCGAGAAAGGGAAATCGAGATATTTCGGAAAATTGCACGTTTCCGTAAAAATTAGATTAATTCTGGCAACAAAACACAAAAAATATCGGAAAAAGTAAAAAAGTCGCATTTGCTGGAAAAAAGAACTTGAGGTTTTTCGAGCAAACCCTACACTGTTAAAAATGCCATGAAATTTAATGTACTTTTAAAGTGTTACACGTGTAATGGAAGCAAATTTTAAGTAGACACAATAAAAATATTTAATGTGTTGTCAATAAAAATGAAGTTACAAATAACTGAAATTTAACGTTCACTTACATTAAATTTTATACAAATCTATATAAAATTTAATAAAAAAATGTACTAAACTTCGTAAAATTTTATGAAATGTTTCTTCAAACTTGATTTTTTCTGAAATAAATAATGCGAAAATTATCCCTATAATATTATTTTTTATGTTTTCATATTATTATTATTATTTCTATTACACTAAAAAGTAATTTTACAAAAGAAAAAAAAATGTATGAACATGTATGGACATATTTCATATATAATTATTCATATTTATGAATATTTATGCGTGTTTATGTATGTTTATACATATTTATACATATTCATGCATGACAAATTTTTTATCGGGCAATTAAATTCAATTAAATAAAATTTGTTGAATTAACCAAATCTGCAAACAACTAAATGTGTTTAGTTAGTTGAACAAATTTTTTTTCCGTGTGGAAAATTACAACTAACAAGGGCTGTGTTCCGAAACGTTACCCCGGTGCCCCCGTGTATCATCCTATCTCTGTTTAATATTGTGTGGATGAACAATAAACCGATATATGGAGGCACTCGGGTAACGTTTCCGAACGCAGCCAAGTATGTTACCGGAGGCGTTACGAGACATTGAGTAAGTACGCTCCAGCGTAGGGCGCAAAATTTGGAAGGGCGCAAAATTTTAAT